GAGATTTGAAATTCAAATTCAGATTGGAATTAAATTTTTAATTTAAATTTAAGTTCCAAATTTAAACTCAAATTCAAAAATTTAAACAATTTCCTATTTAACGATTAACTATTCAATTAAATAACTAAAAGGTTAGAATTAAATAAGGAAACAAATAATTATAACAAATAGAAAATAAAAGAATTAATTATGCTAAAAAGATTAACAACTACCAAAATAAATTAAAATAAAAACACAAACCTAATAAGGAAACAAACGATTTTTTTTTGAAATAAAATAAAAACACAAACCTAATAAGATAGAAATTCAAACAAGAAATTAAAATAAAGAAAGAAAAATAGATCTAGAAACAAAACGGAAGAAAAATAATACTAAAATAAAACAAATCGAATCTAACAAAAAATTAATTAAAAATTCGAAAATCACTATTCTATAAAAAAAGAGTTCAAAAATAAAAACAAAGAAAATTAAAAATAAAATGGGATGACTACACTTGAAACGCAATCCAATTTCTCTTCTCTTCTCTTCCATCCCGTAGTCCCGCAACGCTCCGGTACTCCATCTTTCGCTATTACGTCCTACAAAATCAAAGAGAAACCAGAATTAAAATGAGATTACAGATCAGGTAATCAAACAAAAATAAATATATATATATATTGAAACAGATCTAGACATAGCAAATAAATTTTTTTTTCTGTTGCTTCCCCGGCAACGGCGCCAAAAACTTGGTGTGTTTGGAAACGCATTGTTAAACACTCTAGAACACCAGTTTAAACATTTATAATTTTTATCGTTTCTCAATCAACTACTAACGTAGTAAATGGGTGAGAACAGGTCGTATCCACAGGGAAGCAAGTGAAAAATTAATATATACTTAGATTCGAACAAGAAAATGCAATCGGTAATGGCAGAAAATACGAAAATAAAATCTGTTATTGCTAAAATTAAATGTTTCAAATTTAAACAAGATAATAAATAAAAATCAAAATTTAATAAAGTATGGGAATCAACAAAGGAAATAAAATAAATAAAAAAATGATCCAGAATCCAGATCTAGTGGCAGTAGCTGCAGATCGGCAAGACAGCTTGCAAAAACCCCTTTTGACAAGAATTGGGCATCTATCCTTTCTACAACCCTCGAGACACCTTAGCCTTGAACCGAACGAATTTAGATCTGCTAAACAGAGAAACGAAAAAGAATTAAATCTAAAAGATTGCAAAAATAAAAATAACAGAAAATAATGGTTGATCAGATCTAGTGGTTGTAGTTGCAGATTGGTTGAACAGCTTGCAGGAACCCCTCCTGACAAGAACCGGGTGTCCTCTCCTTCTACAACCCTTGAACTCCTCAAGAACCTTAGCCTTGTTAACTGGGTGAATTGACCAACCCCTTCTACAGGGCCTCTAGGGTCCTTTTTATAGAGAAGAGTGGACACAACTGGGAATAGAGAGAAAGAGAGGGGTGGCAACTGGGTTTTAGCAAAAATATGGGTGCCCTAGGGTTTAGAATGAAGGGTTAAGATGGTTCTAGGGTGATCGTAAGGCTGAGAAGAAAATGAGAAATCACCCAATATTATGTAAGGCTGAGATTTAATGGCTAAAGGTTGAATGGTGAAGATTAGAATTTGGGTGGCTCCTAGGGTTAGAATGCTAAAAAGAGAGTCCCTTAGAATGGATGGTGGAGATTAGAAGGGATGGAAGGCGAGGATTTAGGAATTAGGGGCAGCTAGGGTTTGTTAAGAGTGAATAAAATGGGTTAAAAGGCGCCCTAGGGTTTGCTAAGGCATGGGGAGCATGCTAATACAGTAGGAGGGGCGCCAAATTGGGTTTAGTAGCTAGGAGGCATCCTCCTACTTTCAGTTTTTCACAAAAATACCCTCTCTCAGCTGGATTTCACACCAGCTTCCCAAAATCTGTACAACCATGAAAACTTCCTAGATTTCCCTAGAGTTTAAACAGAGACCCTTAGAGGCCACAACATTGCATTTAACTAGGAAAAGGGCATACTTTGACTATTCTAAGGCCGAAAACACCCCTAAAATGATGCCCTTAAGGCATCAAAATGCAGAGTTATCAGACACTGATCATTTACTATAAATGTTGGGCCCATTAAAAGCCCATACTGATGGACTCAAGGGTTCACTGTACTTTACAGTGAATTCGGCTAGGCTTTTTCATAGAGGCTGGGCCAAACCCATATGGGCTTATGTATGGTCATTTTTGGCGGTCTTACGCCATACAAAGTGAACATAAATGGGTTAGCAACTACCTAGGGACGTGAGCCATTTGTTTAATGGGCATAAACCCCATGATTAATTTGATTAATCAAGAGGTCACATGACAGTTTAAGCAATCATTGGACTTAGAAGAATATGGGTTTGGATAAGGGTATGGAGCACTCATTGGGATAAGAGGATAAGCCTTATCCACTTAAAGAGTCTAAACCCAAATAAAGATTTGTATTAGGAACCTCCTAATTTGATTAAGAGTGGTGCTACTTAAGGCTTATAAAAGGAGAGATTGAACTGCTCCAGATACACACATCTGTTTTCAGTTCTCTCTCTGCTCTTGCTGCCCCAGAAACCCTAATTCGTCCTCCATCTTTGTGAGTGATCTTGATCAGTTCTGATTTCTGATTTTTGCAAAAAAAAATATCAAAATTATTTCGTGCTCACCTCCCTTGTATGATCCAAAGAGTTGGATTGCAGTTTTGATGAAAATTGTGTTACTGAACTGGCTTCATTCCAAGCTGTGCCATATTCAATGGAGACTGGTTTTGGGATTCAGTTTGGGCGTGAACTATCACTTTGGGAGCTACATTTGTGAAATCTGTATCATGTATACTTCTCCATTTCTTTTGGTTTCAGAATTGGTCTAGTTTCGATGCAAGAACGATCATTGAAAAATACAGTTTTTCTAAAACTGTGAATACAATTCCCGGAAGATTACAAGAAAATTTTTGAAATTTCGTCAAACCATCTTACATGATTATGTCATCCATATGATAAATCTAATCTTCCTTCACATTGAAAATATCTTCTATATTTACATGGGGAGATGTTATTGTAATATCTAGTGGGTAAGGGATCGGATTCAATATATTTACATGGGGAGATGTTATTGTAATATCTAGTGGGTAAGGGATCGGATTCAATTCAATATAGCTAAATGCCGTGGTACATAGATTAATCAAATACGCTTGCAAGTAACAAGATAAGACCTTTTGGGGTGATTTTGATTGTAAAAGATATTTCTACCATGAATGAGAATTGATTGCTTTTTCAAAATTTAAAAAGCAACATCATAGATTTATTGAACTGATTTTTATTAATGATTATGATTCCAAAAGCATTTCTACAATGAATGAGAATTGATATCTTTTGATCTCAAATTTTGAAAAGGCAAATATCAGTTTTGCTTATTGATGTGACTAAATGTCAAGTTAATGTCACCTTTATGTTTGACAAACAATTAAAAAATTCTCTTTGCTAGACAAATAAAAGTCTATTATCACGTGCGCAATTTGAAGAATTTATACTATATCATTATCCCGTGCACCGCCTACAGATGCCTAACAGCACATCCCAATTGGGAGATGTTTCCAATGAACAATTAGGATGTGCTGTGGCCTGTGGGTAGGGGTGGGTTGGGTTGTTGAATACCAATTCACTTATATTGATCCATTAATTCAGTATGTCTCATCATCAATACTTGTTAAAGGGTTATAATTCACTTTAATCCTAATCTATTCATATTAATCCATTTGATTCATCCATTTTAATTCTTAACCATTCTCACTCATATTTATTCATCTACCCTCACTTATAAATACAAGAAAGGGTTAAGACGATCCGTATATCCGAAATAACAATTTTTAAGAAGAACATCTCTCTCAAGATTGTCACATGGCAGAAATGGGTCCGATCGAAACATATACCCGAAAGTAACAAATTTTTGAGAGGAACATCTCTCGAGACTTCCATGTGACAGAAATGGGTCAGGRAAACCCGTATGCCCGAAAATAACAATTTTTGAGAGAATAATCTCTTTCAAAGATGCCACGTGAAAGAACAGGTCAGGTTGACCCGTATATCCAAGAAAAAAAAATATATTTTGAGAAAATCATCTCTCTTAAGACTTGCCATGCGACAAAAACAGGTTGGATTGAGAAAATCATTTCTGATATTATTTTCCACGTGACAAAATAAAGCTATTGTTTGTTAAACTTGTAAATAATAAGACTTGCCATGCGACAACCCAACCCTACCAAAAAAACATGTTCCAAAAATCCTCTACCAATAATCTCACACATGGTGGTCCCAATCTCATAATGAGACGTGGGGTGTTAGATCAAATTGGTAGTGGGGTTGAAAGGTGTTTTGTTGGCAGAGGATCTCAACTCAGAGTGAACATAAACATACAACTAATCTACCCAAATTGCAAATAATCTTAACTTTTGTATAATCAATCAATTATATATATATATATATTTATATATATATATATATTAAAAAAAGTCATGAACTCTCCCCTAAAACAAGAATGCAACTCAGGAATTAATGTAGTCCTAACACGAGAATGCGATTCACTATTATCTCGGACTGAATGTGTCAAGGTGGTTAATTAGTAGAATTAAGAACGGTGGTGTTTCTATTAATTCCATATAATCAATTTTAGCAGTGCATTTGAGTTTTATTTTGTGAAGAATGCATCATTGATGATAAACACAAACTCCACCTACATCTGGATTCTATGTTCTTTCAGAACGTTAAAGGCTAGGCTCACCTGGATTCTATGTTCTTCCAGTCAATAGAAAGTAGAAAAAGTAGATTCCAGTGACACAGACAGATTAATACATGGAAGGCTGTGACTTGATGATTTTTAAGGTGGGGCCATAATAACATATCAAAGGTCATGATTCATCAATGATAGCCTATAAATACATTGGCCACCTCTCTCAAGTTACACACATTTGTGGGCGGCCAGGTTCTACGTATACCATGTCGAGGGCAAGGGATCCTCTGGTTGTTGGTGGTGTAATAGGGGATGTGTTAGATCCTTTTGAACGATCCGTATCTCTAAGGGTCACTCGCAACAATAGGGAAATCAACAATGGATATGACATTAGGCCCTCAGCCCTGCTACACCAACCTAGAGTCCAAGTTGGGGGCAATGATTTCAGGATCTTTTTCACGCTGGTCAGTCCTTAATTACAATTCTAATTCTATATCTTGTTTTCTTTTTATGTTTTTTTTGGAATATCATCTCCTCTCCTGCACAAGTATATATATATAGTTCATGCCTGAGGTTTTTCTTGCATACGATTGGCTTCAAGTGGATTATATATGGTTGTAGGTAATGGTGGACCCTGATGCTCCAAGCCCAAGTGATCCAAACCTCAGAGAGTATTTACACTGGTTATGTTTCAATCTCTCTCTCTTTGTATGTTTGGTATATAAGGTTTTGTCTTAGGTTTTTACATTTTCAAATTAAATTGAAATCTTTTGTGGGATTGAAAAAGAGGAAACTATAAAAAATAAGAGGGAATCACCTGGTTAACTGTTAACATGCATGAGAATATATATCAATGATACCCTATAAGGATTTTGGATATATGAACCTAATACCAAAAAAGCCCCTAGTTCTTAACATGGCTAAATTAATGGCTTTGAGACAGACTAAGGCCATGTTTGGAAGTGCTTAAAAATAAGTACTTATTCAAAATAAGTGTTTATTTGGGTCATTAAGCACTTATTGGTATTTGGGAAATAAATCCGAAATAAGTGCTTATTTTAAAATAAGGACTTATTTGTTAAGTCCAAATTTCCAGCTTTCTTTAAGTGCTTATACAATAAGCATTTATTCAATTTTTTTCTTTCAAAATTATCCCTAGTTGAATTTTAAAATACCACTTATAAAATTATACTTAGTTGAATTTCATAAAAGTACTTTTATGAAAGCACTTTTATAAAAGCACTTTTATGAAAACACTTTTATAAAAGCACTTTTATGAAAGTACTTTTAAGGAAGTACTTTTATGAAAACACCTTTTATAAAATCACTTTTATAAAAGCACTCATAAAAGTGCTTTCATAAGGATACTTTTTTAGAAGTGTTTTCATAAAAGTGCTTTCACAAAAGTACTTTTAGAAAAGTGCTTTTGTACAAGTGCTTTCATAAAAATTCTTTCATAAACATATTTTTATAAAACTACTTTTATATAAGTGTTTTTATAAAAGTGCTTTCAAAGGATATATTTTGAAAATTTGAAAGAAAATGAAGGATAAAATTGTCACAAATGCTTATTTAAGTGCTTATTAGACAAAAGGACTACAAACACCCAATATAAGGTAAATACTTATTTAAAAAAAAAAGCACTTGAAAAAATTGGGTGCCAAATGCAAATAAGAGTTTATTCAAATAAGCACTTATTTTTAACTTAAGCACTCACAAACATGGCCTAAAACTATTTATATTGAAATTTATCCCTTTAAATGTGTCAATGTTGCCGATGGATGTTTAGGAGACTGATCTTCCAAGCTAAAAATAGGCGATGTACCTACAAGACACTTTCACTTTCTTTTGACTTGAGAAATAAATCTTTTAATGAATATTTACACATTAAATGGGAAATTGTGCTTAAACCTTGTGTCGATTTCCTGGAAAATACTCCCCCTGCATTTTGATCTCCCCTAAAACCATCCTTCATGTTTCAAATAAATATGCATACACAAGTATGCAAGTATTTTGTTAATTGTCTTGATAGAAAACACTAGGACTGCATTTGGAAGCGATGTAAATCAAGAACCGATGTAAAATTTATATCGGTTCGGTTTTATAGGCGTTTGGAAGGAACGTGTAATTATGATCAACATAAAACTCCACTCTGGTTTAGTTTTACGTGCATTGATCACTAAGGCTCATCAAACATAAAGTTTTACATTGATAATTAATGTAAATACTACATTGATTTTATTGATGTAAAACTTTACATTTTTTTATCATGGTTTTCAAAATGTAACAATCACCTATTATACGGTTCAGTGTAAAGCATCACCAATGTAAAAGTACACTGATGACGTTTTACACTAGATCCAAACAAAGCCTAATGTAATAGTATTTAATTCCCATTTTTTCCAAGAGAAACTTTATTGGGATGGAGATTTGTTGAATTGCCACAAAATATTCAATTAATCAAATAAACAACAAGTTGGAATTGAGCTTAAACCTCCTCTATTAGAAAAAATGCCATACTCTATTTGTGGTGTAAATTCAAATCAATTACAAATTTTGTACCAGGTTCAATTCAACACCTTTGTTTGTGGTGCATCAAATACAGAATCTGCAATTTTTGTCTCATTTACACTTTTGGGCAGTGCAAATATTCTTTCTTAAAAATTGATGCAAAATTCGACCACTTTTCTATCTCAATTCTTTTTCGTATAAAGTGCGGACCACATTATCTTGCTTCCTACCTTCCTACTCCCTCCATTCTCTTTCAGGGGTGGGGGCTATATTTTACCTATTTTATTTCTCACAAATAAGTGTGTGAATCTATGAATAGCTGCATTGTTCATCGTACTTGTACTAATTGGATTGCTTTAACACTCTAGGTTGGTGACCGACATTCCTGGAGGAACAGATGCAACTTTTGGTAAGTTAAAAACAATAATCAAATTTTTACATGCATACATATAAATACATTTAACCAACGTTTTAAAAAATGACCCAGAAATGGAATCGTTTTGGCCATTGGTTTTTGGGTCAACAGTCCAACCGTCCGGTTCAAATGGATGGCCCGTTCTGACAGTAAAATTAAAAAAAATTATTAAAACAATAAAAATGGTCAAAAACCATTGAACGGGGTCGATGGTTCAACCGCCAGGGTCAACAATTTGTTGACTTTTTCATTGGTTTTTGACCAGATTCTGGGTTTTGGGTAAAATGGAACGGTTGCCTAGATGGTTCCCGGGCCGAACGGTCTGACCGTCCGAGTCAACGGCGGTTCGAAAACGTTGCATTTAACTTTTAGGCTATGCTTGGTTTGAAGGAAAATGTAGGGAAAGGGAAAGGTAGGGAAACTTTTACAAACCTTTGTATAGGCTCCCCCATCTTCCCCTTCCTTTCTCTACTTTTTCCTTCAAACCAAACATGGCCTTAGTTTAAATATTCATATTATAAGTCATATTTTCACATAATTCACTTAATAACTGTTGAGTGTTACTTTAAGCCCCGTTACCTTTTTGGTAAGTTACTTACCAGGGCAAGTTTTTCTTGGTAAAGTTATTTACCCCTTAGGAGATGGGTATCACTTACCTTGGTATGATATGCAGGAAAATAAACTTTCCCTGGTCCCTACATAAATTTGAAAAACAAACATGGAATTCTTGRTCAATAGAAAACAAAATCCTATTGAGCAACTTTCCCCCTCTCAAAATCCAAAAAAAAAGAACACCCCCTAAATAATTTTTGAATAAATGACTCGGGGTTACGAACTTCTAAATTATCTCCGGCTACCCTCTATTCTCTCCACTTACCCATAAAAATATGGCCCTACTTAGTAAGGTTTGGTTTAGCAACTAATAAGAGGATCAACCCAATTAATTAATACAACTATCTATATTCTATACATTATTTTCATTTCAGGTTAATACTTACCTGTTTAATTAAAGACAAACGAGGGCAATTCAGTCACTCATACAAGTAAACTTTTTGACTATTTTTAAAGTATTAAACTACTTAGTTAGTTAATGATAACATAATTAAGTTATTAATTACATAATTCTTCAATTAGTTAATTTCAAAAACTAATAAGTTTTAACTCAATTAATTTCTTGACTTACTCTTAAAGTCATTACCTTAATTAGTTAACTTCATTACCTTAATTAAATTAAATTAATTAACTAAGATTAATTGATTAGTTATTAGTTAACTTTGTATATGCCTAACCCGCATAAGGTTATTTAATAAGTTACTTTTATTTAGTTAACGTACTTTTATTAATTAAAGTAGGAAATTATTAATTAAGTTTTTTAATTACATTAATTAATTTAAAAAATTTAGTTAGCTTATAAAACAATTATATAATTACAAGGATTAATTAAATAATAATATAATTATATAATTAATTAACAAATAATTAATAACATAATAAATTAGTTAACTAGTTAAGTTAATAATGTAATAATATATATATAAGTAATATGAATTAATAATTATTTTTATTAATAAACGTTTTTATTTAAAAATAAATTTAATACAAATTAATACATGTTTATTAATAAAGCAAAAAAAAAGCAAGAAAATTTTAGTGTCAAAATTATATCTTATAATTTGATATCCATTTAAGTTTCATTTAAAAAATAAATAAAATGATACTACAAATTTTTTGATAAAAATTAACAAATTAACAAAATTATTAGTTTTAATCTTAATTATTATTAATTCCAAATCCCCTAATCCATTTAAAAATAACAAAAATTAATACTAAATAAAAATTTCATAATGTTATAACAATTTAATAAGGCTTAGTTTGGAAGGAGTACAAATACAAATATGTACAGTACAAAATCTTGCCTTTTGTATTATTTTGTATATATTTGTACTGTACATATTTGTATTTGTASTCTTTCCAAACTGAGCCTAAAAGATAAAAACTAAAACAGTTAGGAATGCCACAATGCTCCTTCTCGGGGTACAACTTGGGTGGGTTGGGTCAGGTTAAGGGTCAACTTAAGCCCAACTGCATGTCCTAAAACTCAAGTTCAGGCTTGGCCTAACTCAAAGTTAAGCCTGAATTTACCAACCCAAGGCTATCTCGAGCTTAACCCAACATCTTAGGTTGGGCTTCAGCTTGGTCTTGTTGAGCCCTCTATCCCAATTTTTACATAGAATAGATTGAAAATGCTGGGTAGGCTCAGATTGGGTCGGGCCAAGTTGGGATATCCAAGGCTTCAATCCAAGTGCAACCTGATCAATTTAGGTCAGGCTTGAGCTTTTTGACCCAAACCCGATTTGATGTTTAAAACTCAAGCCTAACCTATAAAAAAGCTTTGGTTGAACTGGATAGGACTCAGGCTAGGCCCCACCCAAATTACCCCCAACTCCTTTTGCCTCAAGTTCTTTTAACGATGCCAGGCCCTACATGTATGTTAGGTAAATTAATAAATTAYATTCACGCTCATACATTGCACATAATTTGGATTAATTTCTAATAGTATCTCTGAAAGAACCATTCAACCTAAAAGCTTAAGCTGTTAGGTGAGGTCCTTGAATAGGTTGATATTCTCTAGCACGCCCTCTCACATGAAAGCTCATTGGGCTTGAAGCGTGAACAAGCACAAGCCCACCCATACCTTGTGCTGAAACTTATTTAATTATAATGGGGGTAATGATGAACTAACACTAAACCACTTGGTCAAAATGGCTCTAATACCATCTCGAAGAACCATTCAACCTAAAATCTTAAGCTATTAGGTGAGGCCTTTGAATAGATTGATATTCTCTAACAGTATCCTAAATTATCTAACGATTACTTAAATTTAGGAAATTCACTTTTCATTAGGCCTTGACCATAAATTGCAGAAAAATATTTTTTTTCCCTTAAATATTGTTCAAAGTTTTCAAAATTCCTCTCTCCATTTTAATACCGCGCCTGGTGTCTCCAACTAAAACGTGCTCTGCGTCTCGGTGATGGCAAATATATGATAGATGATAATATTAGTGGGGGCGAAGACTATTTATGGGTAAAATGGTGAAGGTAAAGTCGTGTTAACCAATTTTGAAGGTAAACTGGAGTCTAATCTAGAGTGAAGAAATCAATGTCAGAATTTGAACATTCTCCATTCCCCATTTTCCATAAAACAAAAGGTCGAGGTTGCTGTTWATTTCTAGCGGTCCCAAAGAGAATGTTTAACGAGAAGATCTCATGACTCCTCGAATTTGACAAGGAAAGCCGAACCAGTACGTTTAGAGGCATACCTATTACCTACTTCCACTAATCCTAAAATATTGCAAACTCTTTACTCGCATTTTGTGTTTGCGGAAGACACATCATCAAAAATTTATTAGCTTCTCTAGCTAGAGGTGTAAATCAGGCCCCGCACCACGGCCGCCCGACACAACGGATTGCGGCCGCCCGCAGTTCGAGGCATGGCCCAATATGACCCAAATATATTTATGTATATATATATATATATATATATGATTATTGATGTAACGGTTTCTAGTCGCGTATCAACTTTTTTAACTAAGTATCTCGTCACCTCGTCTGCTCCCAAGTGGCCTATGACTCAGGGGCCGAAGTGGAGCTCCCTAGCGTAGCGCAACCCTACTGCTCCCTGCTAGAGATGATCTGCCTACCAATATAGACGGGAACTGAAATGGCTACTCCCTGCAGGCGATGATCTGCTCATTTTTGTAGGCGGCAGGAGCTGAGGGACCTGCGAGAACTAAATCAGAGAATTCRGGGGTGTTTACCCAATGAGGTCACTCCGATGGCTAAGTCAGCACTTAGTAGTGAGCTGAGAATGATATTAGAGAATGAGAGAGCTAGAGAGCAGGGGTTACCATCTCCTCTTTTCGCCTACCTCGCCCCAGGGGGGTGAGGTCTTTATATACTGGAGTCGTCATGGGTTTGGTGGAGCAGTTTCTGGATTTCCGCTGTGATGGAACTTGCTTTCGTGTTAGGTGGGGATAAATCCACCAACTGGTAAGGTTGCCCATTTCCGCCTAAGTCGGGGAGTGGGTGAGCTAATATAGTCGTTACAAGTCACAATCCCATAAAATGCGGGGTACGGTGGTGAGCTCCTTGGAATTATCATTCGGTGGCCGAGCTGCCTGTGAAGTGCCGAGCTGTCTGGGTGGCGAGTTGCCTAGTGGCAAACTGCCTGTGGCGAGCTACCTAGTGGCGAGCTGCTTGTAAGTGTTGCATGGTGGCGATGCCTGTAAGTGTTACATGGTGGCGAGCTGCCTAGTGGCGAACTGCCTGTAAGTGTTGTGCATGGTGGCGAGCTGCCTAGTGGCGAGTTTCCTGTGAGTGTTACATGGTGGCGAGCTGCCTAGTGGCGATCTGCCTAGTGGTGAGTTGCCTGTGAAGTGCTACATGATGGCTAGCTACCTGGGAGAGCTGCATGGTGGCGAGCTGCTTAGTGGCGAGCTGCCTATGAAGTGCTACATGATGGCAAGCTACCTAGTGGCGAGCTGCCTAGGAGAGCTGCCTAGTGGCGAGCTGTCTAGTTGTCACGAGGGTGCACCTAGTTGTCACAAGGTGCCAGGTGTCATGGTGTCACTGGAGGGCCAAATCCGCCCTCATCATTTGCCCCCCACTCCCGAGCTGAAAGTAACTCGGCGAAGGGAGTAGATTTCTCCTTTTGGCCCGTAATTCGACGAGCTCGTAAGCGTTGATTCAGTTCCTTAGGCTCTAGGAGCGACTTAAAGTCCACTCTTGTTGATTGTGTCCATGCCGAAGAGGTGATTGGGTCTTAAGTGCCCATGCCGAGGAGGCGACTGGGACTTGTGAAGTGTCGAGCTGCCTGTGAGGTGTCGGGCTGACCAGGTGTCGAGCTGCTTGTGAGGTGTCGAGCTAACCAGGTGCCGAGCTGACTAGGTGTCGAGCTGCCTGTGAGGTACCGGGCTGACCAGGTGTCGAGCTGCCTGTGAGGTGCCGGGCTGACCAGGTGTCGAGCTCTCTGCCAGTTCGATACTTTAGCCCTTAGGCTCTAGGAGCGACTTATAGTCCACTTTCTTGGACTTTGCCCATGCCGAAGAGGCGACTGGGTCTTATGCAGCAGTACAACCCTTAGGCTTTGGGAGCGACTCATAGTCCACTCCTGAACTTTGCCCATGCTGAGGAGGCGAATGGGTCTTGTGTAGCAGTACAACCCTTAGGCTTTGGGAGCGACTCATAGTCTACTCCTGAACTTTGCCCATTCCGAGGAGGCGAATGGGTCTTGTGCAACAATACAGCCCTTAGGCTTAGGGAGCAACTCATAGTCCACTCCTGAACTTTGCCCATGCCGAAGAGGCGAATGGGTCTTATGCAGTGTTGTGTCTCTTTAGGCTTCAAGGAGCGACTCGTAATCCACTCCTGAACTTTGCTCATGCCGAAGAGGCGAATGGGTCGTTATGTAGCAGTACAGCCCTTAGGCTTTGGGAGCGACTCATAGTCCACTCCTGAACTTTGCCCATGCCAAAGAAGCGATTGGGTCTTATGCAGTACTACAGCCCTTAGGCTTTGGAAACGACTCATAGTCCACTCCTGAACTTTTCCCATGCCAAAGAGGCGAATGGGTCTTAAGTGACGAGGAAGTCTTTTATCAATTCGTCAGTTCGTGGCTAGGCCAGGTCGCCAGGCCATGCGTAAGCCGCGCCAGGCCGCCAGGCCGCTGGGTGGGCGCCTTAGAGCTATGATCGTGTTGCATCTGCCTCGTAATGAGAGAGCTTCAGTTTCTTTGAGTTCATAAAAAAAAGGAAACTATAAAGCGAGAGCTTCAATTTCTAAAAAGCGACGTCTTACCTTTCTGGGAGAAGAGGACTTAGCTTTTTGTAGGATGAGAATTCAGCTSTTTGTAGGATGAGAACTTAGCTTTTGTAGAATGAGAACTTAGCTTTTTGTAGCGATTCCCACAAATGGAGCCAATTGATGTAACGGTTTCTGGTCGCGTATCAATTTTTTTACTAAGTATCTCGTCAACTCGTCTGCTCCCAAGTGGCCTATGACTTAGGGGTCGAAGTGGAGCTCCCTAGCGTAGCGCAACCCTGTTGCTCCCTACTGGAGATGATCTGGCTACCAGCAGCGATGGGAATTGAACTGGCTACTCCCTGCAGGTGATAATCTGCTCATCTTTGTAGGTGGCAGGAGCTGAGGGACCTACGAGAACTAAATCAGAGAACCCGAGGGTGTTTACCCGGCGAGGTCACTCTGATGGCTAAGTCAGCACTTAGTAGTGAGCTGAGAATGATATTAGAGAATGAGAGAGCTAGAGAGCAGGGGTTACCATCTCCTCTTTCCGCTTACCTCGCCCCTAGGGGGTGAGGTTTTTATATAGTGGAGTCCCCATGGGTTTGGTGGAACAGTTCCTGGATTCCCGCTGTGATGGGACCTGCTTTCATGCTAGGTGAGGATAAAGCCCCCAACCGGTAAGGTTGCCCATTTCCGCCTAAGTCGAGGAGTGGGTGAGCTAATATAGCCGTTACAAGTCACAATCCCGTAAAATGCGGGGTACAGTGGTGAGCTCCTTGGAATTATCATGCGATGGTCGAGCTGCCTGTGAAGTGTCGAGTTGTCTGGGTGGTGAGCTGCCTAGTGGCGAACTGCCTATGGCGAGCTGCCTGTAAGTGTTGCATGGTGGCGAGCTGCCTGTAAGTGTTGCAT